AGGCTTTGAATTCATCTATTAACCATTTTTTTCCCCAAATTTCAAAAATATCACTAGGTTCGTAAATGACATCTACTCAATTTATGGTGGGGTCAAAATACAACAAAAAAGTTTTTTAACCAGATCCTCAAATGCAGGGGCCAAATCTATAAATTAGATGAATCACAGGTAGCACCTCCGGGAAGGCAGGAAGTGTTGGGATAATTTACAGATTTGGTCCATGCACTTACGAACCTGATTCAGAAACTTCTTTTTTTACACTTTGACCCCTCTATAAATTGAAGAGGTGCCACTTACAAAACTAGTGACATTTTTGAAATACTGGAGGAGAAATAGCTAAAATATGAATGCAAAGTCTAAAAATAATTAATTTAATTAAAATAATTAATTTCCCTTTTTAAAATCAATTTATTATAGATATGAGAATGAGACCCGCCCCATTGAGGAACCCGGTACCTCGATGACAGGGATTCCCCACAAAATCGTGGATCGGGGATGGGGACAAATAACGTGGTCCCGCCCCCGCCCTGTCCCCATAACACAAGTTGACGATGTTGTTTAAATCCCTTCCTCTTTCTTGTTCATTTATCAAAACAGCTAAACAATCAACTCTAGGTTTGATTTAGGTTTCTCTACCATTTTTTTTACTTATTTCAGTACTTGAATATATTATTTGATGATTTATTATCTTTATCTTCTATAGGTCATAGTTTGATTCTAGGTTTTTTCATACACATAATTCGAAATTGGTCAAAATCAATACCAACATGTACCAACCGAAAAAAGCCATATACCGTTGGTTGATATACAGTATAGAAATTTAATTCTTTGATACATAATACTGGGAAAAAAAAAGAACTTGATACTGCACCAAGTTCCTGTCACGCATAAATAGGCGTTTTCGATCATACTATACATAATCGTCTCACCAAGAGTTATATATGTCAAATGGTATTACTTATTACATATATATACTATATTATAAAACATTTGACAAAAACTCTTAAATATGATTCTTTTATGCACGAAGTACTGTTTATTGATGCATATTATTTAAAATTTAAGATTACAAGTAAATTGTGCATAAGGACAACTTATTAAACTCCATACTTGAATTCGTCTAACTAACTGCAGATAAACATAATCAAATATTGGATAACCATCTCATTTTAAATATAAAAAATTTAAAATATAATTAGAATAATCATTGATAATTAACAGAAATCTTAGTTATTATCTTAAAAAAAATTATATTATTAACCTAAAATTAAATTATAATTAAAAAAATACTTAGTTATTATTTTTATAAAAAAATATATTATTAAACCTAAATTAAATTTCTTTGTTACTAAATCTAAAATAAATTATAATTAAAGTATACCAAATTTAAAAAGTAATTATCGATTTTCTTTCTCAAAATTTTATGATATTTTTAAATTTATATTTTATTCAAAAATAAAAGCATTATCACTTTCTCAAAACCACATAAAATCAATGTTTACTTAAAATTCAATATTACAAGTAAATTATGTAAAAGTACACCTTATTAAAGCTCGATGTTTGAATTCATATAACTAATTGCGGATAAACATAATCAAATAGAGGATAAACATCTTATTTTAAAATATAATCAGGATATTATCGAGTTCTAACAAAATAATTAATTATTATCTTTATAAGAAAATTATATTATTAAACCAAATACTTCGTTATTGTATCTAAATTAATTATAAAAAAATTGAATTAAAAAATTATACAAAAAAATGAAAAAATTTAAATAGTTAATTTGATACTAATATCGATATATTTTTGTCAAATTTTTATGATATCTTCAAACTTATATTTTATTCAAAAATAAAAACATTATCGCTTTATCAAAATCACATAAGACCATATTATAACATCGACTGAGMTAAAGAATAAAATGAAATATTAAAATCAAGATTTATCTCGCTACATTGCACGAGTACCCTTCTAGTTATATTATATGTATAAAAAATAGAAATTTATTTGGATATAAATAATCATATTTTATTTTACTTTAAAAAACAAAGAAACTAAATAGAAAGACCGCACTTAATTAAAACATAAAATCAAAGTAGACTAATTTATTAACTAATTTTAAAAAGATTGGATAGCTATGCAATAAGTTAATAAATGAATATAATAAATAAATAACTGAAAATAGAATCAAAAGTCAAATCAACTTTATGTAAGTTTTATTTCTTAGTAATTAGACTGAAAAATACATGACAAATTGAAAACTATCTTAAACCAGCTATAGATGTTTTAAAAGTTAAAAAAAAAAAAAAAACCTAAAACAGTAAAACTATTTCTAAATCCTACGTAATTCAAACCACTCGTCATCTCATCGATGTCTGCTCTCTAACATTGCCCATCACTGTCGATGGCTCCTACCATCAATCTCCCTATCATTTCTCCATTAAATTGTTATAAAAGAGAAAACCGAAAGAAGAAAAAACAAACCCAAAAGAGGGAGAGTAATGGCAAAAGTTGACAACGATGGGTGGTTTAGAGAATGGACAATGATGAGGGGTTTGAATGGTAAAACTTATTTAGGCTTTTATACTATAAATCCTCTTAGCCGATTAGATATAACTTTTTTTTTGGTTAAAACTTAAGGGTGTGTTTGGTACACTGGACATAGACAGAACATAACATGAATTGGATCCCTGTCCCATGTTGTTCATGAATTTTATGTGGAACAGACAGAAATATAGTGGAACAAAGTGGAACAGACTTGTTCCACCCCTACCCCATGGAACAGGGTGGAACAAGGTGGAACAGACTTATATTTTACCAATATAACCTCAAAATAAAACTAATTCTCTTCTAAAACATCAAATATGTCTCTTTTTTATATTTTATTCATTCTTTAAATTTTATTTATTGTATTTTATGTTTCTTAAATTTTCATTTTTATTGTTCTCAAAATATTATTTTTATACGGTTTCTATATCTTTATTAATTTATTAATTTATGTAATTTATTATATATTAATAATAAAAAAATAATGTAAAAATTTGATAAAAGTAAAAATAGAAAACTACATGAACTTTTTATTTGGTATAATTTTAATTGTTTTAACGAAAACTTTAAATGATATATTTTGTTATAAAAAATAATTATTCTATTACAATTTAATAAATTACATAAATTAATTAAAATAAACAACCCATCACGAGTAAATTAGTCATTTTACTTGTTCTATTTTGTCCATATTTATCTTACCAAACGTTGAACAATTGTTCTATTATGTCTTGTTCTGTTCTGTTCTGTCTGGACACCAAACACACCCAAAAAGAATGTTAGTAACAAAAGTTCGATGGTTTATTTACTCAGTAAAAAAAGTTTAGAGACTTAATTATTTGAAACAGAAAAATTCAATAGTTTTTTAATTTAAAATATAATCCAAAATTTAATCATTTAAAATAAAAAAGTTTATTAATATAAAGAAAATATATATTTCTACATTAAGGACAAACAAGAAAGGTGTTGCTCACTCATCATTGTCTAAATACAATTTTTTAACTAGAAAAAGCATATAACCAAGTTGGAAAAATAGCTTTACGATATAATATTGTTCTTGACTCTCTAATTTATTTATATTTTTTAAAATCAAAATATTATTATTATTATTATTATTATTATTTAAAAAAAAAGTAAATATGATCCAATCCACAACTAAAATTACAAATCAACCTCAACTAATACATAGATAAAGATACAAAAAGCCACATAAAAGAACCAATTTGCCGACTATTATTTATTAATGTTCTTGACCCACTCTTAATTATTGTGATTAGTGTTTAATTAATTAATAATTAATATAAAGTTAATCATGATTCGAGTAGATGATGGCAATTGATGCTATAATGACATTTTTGCCCTCAAACAACCCATTTAATTTCCTTTTCCACGTTTGGTACCCCTATATATTTTTTTGTATATTTGTCATTGTTAGGATGTCCTACTTACTGTTTTTTTAAACGAAAAATACATGATAAATATCTGTATATCATATGTCATTGCTTACTAGGGGTAGCCTGGTAATGTTGCATTTACACTTTTGACCTTCGTGTTTAGACCCCATCATTATATAATATACCAACAAATCTAAGCAAAGATTTGATCGTTTTGGATTTGTGTAAAGTTTCCTTTTGCATTTAATTAAACTCATGGGTGGATTCTAAAGTCTTCTGGGCATTTTGATTGAACTTGTGGATCTACTGTTCCCCTTTCCATAAAGGGAAAACAAAAGGGTAGAATAGTAAATCGCAACTTTAAGAAAGTATAGGGAATGAAAACGAAACGAATATGTTTAAGGTCATACCTCATTTGTCGCGCCTCGGTAATCTCCTACCCCCTACATGACATGTCCCAAATGACCACATCATGTACTCGTAACAACCCGAACAACAAGATAAAGTCTACAGGATAAAATGTACGCAAACCTTACCTTTTCATCTGAAAAGATTACCTCTGACTTTATGTCAAGAGATCATAAGACCCTCAGATTGCGAAAAATCATAATTCTTGCTAAAATATTTGGTTGGATTTCATCTCAAATTGGCCTATCTTTCTATGAACCTTTTGGCTGCTCAAACAAATGATATTTAGTATGCCCTTATACTTGATGAGCATTTGCTCATTTGGACAGTTATGCGGAAACAATCTCTCTACTCCAAAGGATGGAGGTAATAACTGTGTACCTCCAACCCTCCCCAAGCCCTACTGCATGTGGGATTCACTGGGTTCGTTCGGTTTACTCTTTTTGTGTTTGAATTAAGACCCAAATTACATGTTTAGCATAGACCATAGAGTTATTAATGTCCCAAATGGGGTCATGTAATTGAAGTATGTCAATTTCAGTTAGGTTAGGGTCAAGGATATCATGACTTACGATGATCAGAATCATGTTAGGATTGGGTTATAGTGTGTATCATCTGTAACCAGTGTGGTCTGAATATCTACCGGTTGTATTCAATGATGAACAGAAACAGGTTCATCTTTTCTTTCACAACCAAAATTTTAACAAGGGTTAAAGGAATCAAATACCAACCTACGATTAAAGTTGAAGAGCAAAGCTATTGTTTTACTTCACAACATCAGGGAAATGTCACTCAGAAAAATATGATCGACACGCCCATTGTGAAGCATCCAGCCGCCACCCATGGGCTCAACCGTTCACCTGTTTCAAGCGTTAGTGAAAGTGAGATGCCATATTTACAATCTGCAATATAGATGCACGCTTTTTCTAAAGAACCTCAATGTAATCAGTAGTATGAGAGAAACATGTTAAAAGTTCACTCGTATATACCACATGGACCAGCATCAATGTCCATTTCTCCTAAGACGATATAAATGGAACCCACAAACTGAAATTGTTGGATAACCAACACAAATAGAATCCATGTAAAAACCAAACTAAGCATACCCGGTACATCTCACTCGTATGATGTATGCAGACCTTTCCCAAAGGGTAGAGATCTAAAAAGGAGTGCAACACGAGGACTTTCTAGGGGGTCACCTATCCTGGTACTACTCTCGTCTAAGCACGTTTAACCATGTAAACTTAAGAATTAACACAACACTTAGTATTACTAGTATGCTATGCTACTCATCATTCTAAAAGCATGAAAGACATGTTGATTTCCACAATGGTTATTTTATGAGTTAGATTGTTGAACTATGTACTTATTGTGATCCTAAGCAGAGTATTACATTAAGAGCATAATGCCAATGTAAATGACCATCAGAAACATACCTATTCTTGCAGCCTTCCAGAAAAAACCCCGAAACCTGAAAAACAAACAACCAGAATATTGCCTGAGCAAACCAAGCAACAACTATGACTCTACCAAAATATAAGAGAGAGAACCTACTGATATGCAACAAATAAGAAAGGGAGACATAGAACCAGTGTGTGGCTGCACATCGACTCAAAGCATGATACTGTTATCTGCCTAAAAGGTTCTTACTGCTAATTTTTGTCTAGCCATCTCCAAAATGATTTGTTACAAATAAGTCAAATAGATTAGCCCTTCCATCTGAACAAATGAATGTTTGCATAAGTTAGGAATTAGCAATTAGCAATCTAACCCCTATTTTTTGGAATTAACATAGACATCAGAAATCAGACATAGACATCAGAAATCAGAAACTCTTTCACTGTGTCAAACAGCAACCTTTCTAGCACTTCAGTTATCTATCCATATCATCAATAAGATCATGTTCCCGAATCTCAGGAAGGTGCATCTAAAGATTAGTGACTAGTGCATAAGAAGACAAAACTTTAGTTCAGTCTTCGACATTCTTAAAGTTTTCCTAATGATTTTTTTTTCTTGTTATTCTCCTGTACAACCATTTCTTGTCTATATATAGACTTTCTATACCTAAACAAAGAAAGCATACAACCCAATTTCTTAATTTTAGGAAAATATCTTAACCCACTTATTTCCTGCCATTGATTCCCTGAAATCTCTCCCAAGATTACTGAGATTTCCTACACTCCCCCTGAAGCTCGTGAATACAAATCTTCGATTCACAACTTGCTAACATTCTCATGAAACATGTTACAGAGTCCCTTTGTCATCACATTTGCAAGCTAAAGTCCAGTAGGGACAAACGGAGTACAAATCAGTCCACGATCCAACTTCTCTTCGATGAAGTGCATGTCTATCTCTATATGCTTTGTCCTGTCATGTTGCACTCGGTTGTGGGCTATACTTATGGCTGACTTGTTATGTTATCATGGTATAGTTTCACCAGCTCGCTCCATCGAATAATTAGGTCTTTGAGACTAATTTTGACCCACAATAATTCGCATACTCCTGTTGCCATAGCTCTGAGCTCTGCTTCGGCACTTGATGTTTATACCATACTTTTTTTCTTGCTTCTCCATGATATCCAGTTTCCTCCAAGAAAAGTACAATAGCCTGTAGTTGACCTTCAGTTAATGAGAGACCCTTCACAAATACAATCCGCATCTGTGTAAATTGCAACATCAATTGCAGATTAAATCTTGAATAAAACTCCCTTCCCTGGACACACCTTTAAGTAACGAAGCACTCGGTAGATTGCTTGTAGATAAACTTCTCCAGGGTCAGCATAAACTGACTGATAGCAGACTTGATAAGCTATATCTGGCATCGTATGTGCAAGATAGATGAGTCTCCAAACGAGCCTTTGGTACATATCTTTATTTATCGGCTTATCTCCAAGAGCCTCACTTAATTTGTGATTCCATACAATGCGAGTCCCAACCGGTTTACTTGCCGTCATGCTTGTGTCCTTGAGCAGGTGGTGACATACTTTTGTTGCAAAATAAAATTCCCTACCTTGATCGAGCCGCCTCAATTCCCAAGAAATACTTCAGTTTTCCTAAATCTTTTATTTCAAATTCCTTGGCTAGACGTTGCTTCAAGGCCTCCTTCTCTTCTTATCATTTCTTGTCACTATAATATCACCTACGTACACAATTAAATAGTGACTCCCTTTGAGGCAGAATGCTTGATAAAAAGTGTGTGATCTGCAAGACTTTGCTTATAGCCACTAGCTATCATCACCATGGAAAACCGTCCAAACCAAGCACGTAAGGATTCTTTCAGCCCATATAGTGCCTTTTTTAATCGACAAACTCTGCTCTTCCCAGCTCCGCTAAATCCCGATGGAATACTTATATAAATCTCCTCTTCTAGTTCACCATGAAGGAAGGCATTCTTCACATCATACTATTGTAATTCCCAATCAAAATTTACAGCCAAGGACAACAGAATCCTCACTATATTCATCTATGCTATGGGAGCAAATGCTTCTTGATAATCTACTCTATAAGTCTGTGTGTATCCTTTCGCAACTAACTGCACCTTGTAGCATTCGAGGGAGCCATATGCCTTAAATTTTACTGTATACACCAATTTACATCCCACTGCCTCCTTATCCTTTTGGTTAATCAACCAATCCCCAAGTCCTACTTTTTTCTAATGCATCCATTTCTGCTTCTGTAGCAAGTCTCCATTCTTTCTATCATAATTCTTCAGATAATGAGCTAGTAATAAGGACTGTGTTCGAGGTGGAAACGAAACTTTGATCGTTTAGGGAAAACTTCTCCAAAGGACACAAAGTAAGACAATGTGTATAGGGGCCTTTTGGTGCATTCTCTATTCCTCTTTCTCATAGCAATCAGTAGGTGTAGGTCCTGGTTAGGTTTAAGAGGCTCAGAGTGGTCCAGGGATGGTTTGTTGGTGATGAAGAATCATGATCTGGTTCATTCATTATTACCTCATTCCTGGAGTTTTGTTAAAGAATTGTTCTTGCGTAGTAGTCACCATGGGCTCTCTTTTTCTTGTATACACTTGTTCACACCAGACAAAGTCAAAAGGTTTACTAGCTCCTTCCAATCAATGAGATTTTTTATTTTGACTCAGATTGGGGTTCATAACGAGATTCAAATTTGGATGACTCTTGGGGTGACTCTGGGTATGAGGTAATCTTGTTGAATCCCCGTTAACCCATACACCTTCTCTAACGTCCATCTTTTTTCTTGTAATGTTCAGTTTTAAATTTGTTGATCTTGGTTTCGAAATAAATAACGATGGAAGGTTCAGGGGTAAAAAGCTTATGGTTGATGGAAGGTAAGGGACCAAAAGGTGAAAATTGTGGTCACTTCCTTGTGGTTTGAAATGTTTGGTCCAATAAGAATTGTTGGATGTTATGGTTTTGTAAGTCATTTCACATAAGGGAAAGGAGGTTGGGTGCATGCCGATGCACCGCCTCACCCTCCTTTCCTTAGAATATATATATATATATATATATATATATATATCTGGCCTCTGTACCAGTAGTGGAGTGCTCCTCTTCTCAAAGCCCTTCGAGAGGAAGATGTGGAGTGACGTGGTTCTCCTAAGAGTGAAAGTGGAACGGGTAGAAGCCATATATATATATAGATTTTGAGGATTAAAAGTGGGGAGAGGAGGTTTTTCTGATGGTTTTCATTCAAAGAAGAAGAAAGATCCAAGTAAGAGGTTCGGTGAGATTTCAGTTAATATCGGATGAGGTGATTTTTTACAAAGCTTTTGTAAAGTACGTGATTTACTTTGATACATGAAATTATGTAATGTGTTTGGATTCGGATTATTATGTGAGGCATGCTCATCTCCCAAGCTTTGGGAGATGAGGGGGTGCTCATCTCGCACGCTTTGGGGGAGATGAGGGGGTGCTCATCTCCCAAGCTTTGGGGGAGATGAAGGGGTGCTCATCGCCCAAGCTTTGGGAGATGAGAGAACTCATCGAGTTTGTTCATCGTTTAAACCTTGATAGTTGGCGCGATAGATGGCGGGACATCCACAATAGTTGGCGGGATAACCGCGATAGATGGCGGGGAATCCGCGATAGTTGGCGGGGTAACCGCGATAGTTGGGCGAGGCATCCGCGATAATTCTAACATTGAGATCAAAACTGAATTCATTAACATTTTGATCTATTTGATGCAATGAGCTATATCATAATGTGTTAAATGAGTTATTGGGTTACTTGATGCGATAAATTGGTAATATCTCATCTTTTAGATGCGACAAAAGAGGTTTATTTTATCAAAAGGTTGTATATTTGTTATTATTACATATATGAGTTTATAAATGTGTTTGGTGATTATTCACCCTGTAATAGCAGACAAGAAGGGAATTCACTCACTAGACCTTTTGGTCTAATCATCATTTTTAGTGTTTTAAATGGTGCATTACAAGTCAGGAAACCAGATGTTAAGGGAAAGGGAATTTATGAAGAAATTTATATGATTGCCTGCATGTGGATATTTAAGATAATGTGTTGTAACTTGTACCTGCATGCTGCTTATGAGTACAAGTTTTGTAAAGAGATTTTGAGAATGGAGAAATTTGGTAGCTACTTTTATAATGTAGCTTTTATTATATTTGAGACCGAATATGTAAAATTGTATTTTTTTTGTTATATGAAATACATGATTGTATGCAAATGTGGAACATTGGACGTTACATTTCTTTATTGCCATATGCATATAACAAGTGAGGTAAAAGAGTTGTTATGGGGTCTAATAATTCCTTGGTCTAAAAACTTATGCGTTAATAGTTCAGACACCAGTAACATCTTTTTGTGGCAAATGGTCTCTACAAGGCCGCAAGGTTTATGGGAATTAAGGCATGTTTTACTGGGATTTGATGATCATACTCATACCCAACCCAAGTGAGGGAAGCGTGCTGAAACAGGGGGGTTCTTCGAAGAGCTCGAAGTAGTTATCTAGTACTTAGGGGGGTTTGCGGAAATGAATTAGCGTTTGGGTTGTACATATTTCGAGTTCAGGCAAGGATCCTCTTTTATGAGCTACATTTCCCCCCTTGATGCAACGTCTTCCAATTCTATGATTGCCCACAATTTTCACCCCCCTTGTTACAAAACCTTCAAGTTCTATGATTGCTCATAGTTTTCACCCTCTTTGCAGTTGGCAATATCCCCTCTTCGCATCACCTTTTCTCGCTCCATAGTGAAGTGTATGTGGGTGATTCAAGAAATCAAAGTCTAACTTGCCTAAGGAAGTGAACAACCGAGTCCCCAAAAACTACATCACAAACCCATGAAGCCATCAAGAACAAATCTGCCATGAATGTCATACCCTGCATTCTCCACTGAAAATATTCACCAATTATGACCCACTTTATGTGCTTAAGAAGCATCAATGACGTTGTAGGTACTTCGTGTGACTAATTGCATTTGAAGGGGCCTTTTGCCATGATGACAAGTAAATCTCATGATTGGTAATCTCTGGGTACTTTTTGTGACTAATTGGGCAAGTTGATTGATTAGCTGATACGCAAGTTCTTCTTCCCACTCTTATGTCCCTTTATAACTATGGATTGCCTCATACTTCTCATCACAAAATAAATAAAGACCCTTGGCCCTTTTGACGAAGGATCGTGTGAGAATAGGAGTTAAGGTGACAAATGTAAGAAGGGATATGGACCCCGATCACTTTTAATCTCACCCCTACCCATGAAGTGCGCTTATCACGGGAATTGATCTGGTGCATCTCGGTGCACTGCATTAGTGTTGATCTTCATATAGGATTGATCCAAAGGTGGACATCCCTTCTTACCCTTCTCACCATAACTTCCATTTTCACCGGAACCCAACCATGGCCCTTTTATCCTCTAAATCGCATCAAGGATTAAAGCTCTTTTGTGATGTTTGGTTAGTGGTTTGTTCCATTCTGTTTAATTACACTATTCCAGCCTCTAGGATATTTTTTGGTTTCTGGAACAACTTTTGTGCCAATTGTGAATAAAAGGGTGATTTGGCAGTGCGTTTGGTTTTGTTTGGCTTTGAGGGCGGCCTCACGCAGCTTAGCCCAGCAGTAGGCCTCTCTGACGTGGAGCTTATATGCCCTTACTACATACTGCATTTCGACTTCAAGGCAGTGATAGAAACAACTAAGTCCATACTCGGCAGACAACTGCATTATGCTAACTATGCTATCAAACTCATCATGGTAATCTCTAGAAGAAGCAGTCTGCTTCAAATCCTTTAGTTCAGCCATGAGATCATCATAAATTTCCTCCAATGCTGTTGTAATAGTCTTTCATACTCGGTCAAAATGCAAGGGAATGCCGTAACGGCAAGGTAATGCCACAACAAGGACACTTAACCATCTATGTGATACTGTTAAAGTGCCAAAACATATAGTTTGTTAAATTGTAGGGTTGTAATGATCCCCTTCTATGTGTCCAACATAAGAATGCCATTTGACATGTATTGCTCAAATGCAGGAAATGGTTGTTAGATCATTAAGGACAATCATCGTATGCATAGTAAAGGTAAAATATGAATGTATATGTATATATGTATGTATATGCATATATGTATGGATATGCATATATGTATGGATATGCATATATGTATGGATATGCATATATGTATGGATATGCACCCTCTCTCTATATATCTCTATCTTCCTCTACTCATCTTTTAGCTTCTACGATTGTTCTCACTAGTTAATCATTGGAACACCTCCAACATTGGCTGATTTAATGGCTTAGATACAGATTGCATCACACAAACAGATGACAGAATTAGAAAATCTCTTCATAACCTTACTAAAGCCTATAATTGATTATTAAAAAACCAAAATTGGATGTTCTCTAATGATCGGAAATTGGGTAAAAGAGTATCTAACCCAGTTTTCTGTTCAAGGATAGCAGGAAACTGCATCTTCAAGAAAGTGCAAGTGCAGATCACCAGCAACACCACCGTCAGAAATGAATGGAAATTGAAAAGCGCCGACTGTGCACATTAAAATCACAGGTTTTAGTAAGATTAAAGTGTACAATAACTGAAACATAGATTCATGAGTGATAATTCAGCCAGTTTACCATGTTCGTAGAACCTTGGGAACGGAAATAGAGGGTTTGGGGTTCTTCCTCTTCTGATTTGTTTAGAGGGAAAGAGTAAAGGCAATCCAGCGAAGATGAGACGACGGACGTTTGACGTCTAATCCCGAACTGCATACAACTCCTAAGCAGAAAGCACAAGTCGTAACTGCGTCCGACTCGATGGACTCCTGTCCACGTCACTCGATTTAGTTGTGTATACGAAATAACTATGGGTGATAACCCGACAAACATTTATAACCCGGTAAGCGCTTACCGGGTAAGAGTCATCACCCTCACTTACTGGGTAAGACTCTCGATTCTTGTCTTCCCTCTTATCGGGTAAGACTCGATGTCCTTGTTATGTTCACCGATAAGGTAATATAGTCGGTAAGCACTTACCAAGGTAAGTGTTTAGGAAACAACCCCTAATTGTTATAAATCATACAAACTACTTTATTAAAATTTTATAAAAATAATTAAGGTTTATTCATTATAATTTAACGTTTTATATTATAACACAATTACTATATTAATTGAATCGATATTCATTATATTAGATAAACGATTGAGATTGTTTTATATGATTTGTATCAAAGTTCTATATTTGAATTTTTAATACACATAGACGCCAAACATGTTAGGTCTAACCCATACCCTCAATTGTTCCATCCAATTGGGTATTCTTTTCACTCAACACGATTAATCCGACAAACCAAACGCCCATAAGTTTATATGTGTCGAGAGATAGAGAGGCTAGGGATTCAATTCGTGTTTAGGCATGGGAATGGGTCCCGACAACCCAGTCCACCCGCCCCTGTTGGGGACGGGGATTCCCCGCTAAATCGGGGATGGGGATGGGGACGGGGACAGGTATGGTACTCCCCGCCCCGTACCTGTAATATATATATATATATACATTATATATATTAATAAATTTTATACACATATATATATATATATATATATATGTGTGTGTGTGTGTGTATTATTTATTTCAACTAAAGCGGTAATTCATAATTTCCTATTTCCAAACTAGGTTTATAATCTAAAATTGTTACTTTTTGGATGTTAATATGTAATATTTTGGATGTCAAGTCAAAATACAATTATTCGATAAGTTTTGTATATTACTCGATATGGTTTTATATTACTCAATATCTTTTGGTACATTTGACTTTAAGTTTTTTGGATTAAATTGATTTTTGTTTTTGTTTTAGGTTATTAGTTCTTATATGATGTTATGGTTTTTTTTATATTAAATTATATTCATTTTGGTTTTAGGTTTATTGAAAATGTTTTAGATTTAAACATGTATGATTTCTCACACATTTAATTCAAAATAACTTAAATAAACGAGAAAAAAAATCTTCGTCTCCCCTTTGGGGATCCCCGTTCCCCGTTAGGGATAGGGATGAGGATTATATTCCCTAGCAGGGATGGGGACGGGAACGAGAATAGAAATAAGTAATCGGGGATGGGGATTGAGGTCCCCGCCTCCTTCCCATGCCTACAAGTAGATACTATTGCACCCAAACAATGAGGAATCAAGAACACGAAAATATTCCATGACCACCATTGATGGAGCGTATGAAAATCAAAATAAAGATTACACACATGTTGATTCTGATAATACCCTCTTCTAAAGTTTGCTGATTCAATGAATACCGAACTTTAAGCTCAAACTCGAATTCAAAGTGAACTCAATATTTGGATGGAAAATGGAAATATCTGTATTCAACAACTCACCATCCAAATTATACCTGAAGCACATAAATAAGAGGCCTAAACATAAATAAGCCTTGAAAAGATGATAGTCAAACATAAAAGTTTCAAAAATGAAAATGAAAAAACAACAAAAAACACAAAATTATCCCCAAACGTTAAACGATGTTTTTTGCCCTTAGAATCTCGGCCTAAGTAGGTGTGCTCCTTGTTCCAAAATTTGAATCGAAATATTATGGGCTTGAAATGGAAACTCATAGCAAACGTTATGCGTTTATGTGTGACACCCCCTGTTAGCCTGGTCATGGACCTCTAGGAATAATAATAAGGTCTAGTATTCCACGCCAAGGCTCACGTCTATGATAAATTGAGTATCAATACAAACATGTCTTAAAGAAGTTTCAATCCTAGTTCTAAAACCCACGGTGTACTAAGAAACACAGACAAACCTAGAAATAGCAGTAATCAATCATGATATAATCATAAACATATAAAAAAACTTCTAGTTTTTTTTGGTTCACATAAACTCTCAGGTGTTATCTTTGGCTGCGTTTGATACATTGGACAAGATAGGACGGGACAAAACTCACCTTTCCACGTTTGACATGACATGTGACAGGACAAATACTCACTGTCCCACATTTGGTACGACATGAGTTAGGGACAAGAACTGGGACAGACTTATACACCATGGGACAAAAAATGATTTTTCTTGTTCCACCAAAACTAGTGAAACAAGATGGGACAAGAATGAGAAATAAACTAAAATATTAATATTTAATCTTTGTTTGATATATAACCTTGATACAATGTTTATTTTAGCGGTCACCACCGCTAGTCGTGACCATGGGCCACTGCCATCACCAGTAGCCATTGTCGGCCACCTTCACATCTTCCTCCATTACAACAACTTCCTCCACCATCTCCACAACCATCATCAACCACCATCCATCGCCACCTCCACAACCATTGTACCATTAAATAAGTTTCTTCAGCTTGAGTTGGGACCTTTTTATTTATTATTTATCGTAAATGAGTGAAGAACATTACACATACCGCCACCGTTGACCACCTCCACCTTCTCTTCTACTACAACAAAATCTCAAAAAATCTACATGGGATCGAGGAAATTCACTTGAACCGCCACTTAAAACAACTTGCAGAGTTATTATGTGTACATATCAACTTGCAAAGAGAATTTTACTTATAGGACATTGACATATGAATTTTCCACAAGCTTCTTTTTATATACAAAACTAATGGGGTAACCCCCACCTAGAATTAATAACAGACACCTCTATCCGCTCATTTCCAAAATATTCTTTTAAAAGCTTGGAATTGCGCTGATATTACTGCAGAGATGCCACTTGCGGAGGAGGATCGAAACTGAATTTTTCTTTTTTGAATTTTTGAAGGGTCTACAAGTGACACATTTGGTAGAAAATGATTTTTTTTTTGTCTTTAAACTACTTCCGCAAATCATTGAGGTGTCATTTACAAAAATACTGACATTTAAATAATCGAAGAAAGAAATAGCTAAGAAATAAACCATACTTTAATTAATTTCCTTACAAAAATAAACGACATAAATAAATCTAAATATTAATATAATTAATTTCCTTAGAAAAATAAACGACATAAATAAATCTAAATATTAATATAATAGTTGTTAAGTAAAAATAAAAATAGAATGAAGACGATAAGCCAACGGCCCTTCCTTATCTACTTCATCCCTTCACTAGAGCACTTCGCATCTCCCTCACCTTAACCAACTACAATGGCCTCTTCTTCTTTGTTCGCCTCATCTCCTGTGCTACAAACCTTAGCTCCTTTCGCCAAGAACAAACCTACGCCATTTCACTTCCAACATCAATTTGGAAGACACCCATTTCAGGGTTTTTCAATCAAGGCTCAAACCCTTGATTTCTCTGGTACATTCTTTGAAGGAGGATTGGGAGGTGAAGATGACCCCAACAACTCATCCGGCTCTGTTGCCACTGCCATTGAAGAAAAAGAGGAGCCCCAATGCCCACCTGGTTTGAGACAATATGAAACAATGGCTGTTTTAAGACCCGATATGTCTGAAGATGAGCGACTCTCTCTTACCCAGAAGTACGAAGAGGTACTATTACTTGATTTTGCAATTCCATATCGGTTTTGAATACATTTCTGCCATCCTTCGATTCGAGCATCGAATTGTAAGTAGATTTTGGGTGTTTTGTCTCAATTATCATGTCTTGTTCTTGTGAATTCACACAGTAATTATCTACAATTTTGTAGGGCTAATATGCAGTTTTTAGGTAGACGTATCCCCAATTTAACTTGCTTTGAGATCCATATGAATTTATCTATTAATAATCCATCCATTTTAGGGATACAATTCCAAAATGACAACCCTTTAAGAATAAGTTTATATTTTCATGTTTTCATAGACATAGATAAAAAGTAATTGCAGTGTACTAAAAACATCATACCACTTTGGAATCTAGAACTAGAAATGTATATGCCACCAACTCAAAATTGTCCCATTCTTTTGAATAACATACATAAAATGATGTCATTTACGGCTGTTTTTTTCCGACCGGTGGTTGGGGCGATCCAGAGGGTGGTGACATACCCTTTTTACAGAAATCAAGATTGTCCATTGTCCTTTGGTATAAAGGTATCTCTAGTTCTCTACAACATTAGATTGTGTGTAGTTTGTGTCTAACTCTCAGAAATTAATGTAATTGATTATTGACCATTTCGAAGAAGAGAAATGTATATCCCTTCCTACTACAAAGAAGCATGAATATCTGGTTTTGTAAAGATGAGCTTGAATGTAGGATACCATAGCAAAGTTTGGTGTTGTTGAATTCTCTATTGTTTTATTAAAATTAAAGAAGTGCTGAATTATTTGTTATTCTATACTTCTTGGGAAAAGTTGGTTTTGAACTTGTTAGTTGTTATCAAACAATAAGCACTTGACCTTATCAAATCCAACTTTAATTTAGTTTTAGTGATTAGTTGACTGATTAAAAAGGTAGTCAAATAAAATCAAAGGGAAAAGTCAACTCCCGAATGATCAAATCTCAAATCATGCTAATTCAATACCAATGCGATAATGGTTGCTCAATATGTAATAATGCATCAGTTGATATATATAACTAACAAAATGACCTAACTCTTGGGGATGATTTCTCATTAGTTTGCATTTTGTTGTTAAATTCGATGATTTTACATATTAACGAGCAGTTAATGGAATCTTCCAAGTATTTTGACCCATTAATTTTGTTGTTGGTAGTAGCCCAATATCAACATAGGAAAGGTAGCCAATAGATAATTTCCAATATATAACCACTATTGGAGTGTAACTACTTTTGTATTTCTTTCTTATGATCAATATTCAAGATCTAGTCAATAAATGGCTATTTTGACCAAATTTCCTTGTAATGAGTTGAATCTGTGGATTTGTTTTCTTGGAGCTTTTTTGCAAATTATGTTACTTGCTCCGATCAAAAAGAGAAGAGTTCTCTTTTCCAATTGTTAAATTCGTGTTAGCTTTTTACAGTTTCCAAGTGCAGCACTAAATACTGGTTTACACTTTAGTAGTTTGATATGGTGCCAGAGTTACTGAATAGAAAGAAAGTTCAGTTTTATGTATTGATATTTACACAAAGTTTGTACCACTAAAAGAGGAATGTGGAGTTCTTTATTTTTGGAAAAATGATGTGTTAAGTTTCAGGTTATGTTTGTTAGCATTCAATATCACAACTCAAGCATTCGAGTCCTTAATTACGCTTATGGAACTCTCATAAGATATGCTTAGAATTGAGCAAACGGTGTCAGGCTTTGGCACGTGAATTTGAGGTCAGGATGATGTTGGTTCATGATCTATCTAGTCCAACCATCGCTGACCTTCAAAGTAATGGATGTTTTTGATCCATCTTCGGCCACCAATTAAAGGAGAGCACATCCAAAAATGAGAGTACTTGAAGTAAGAATATAGATAACGAAGAGTGTTAAAAGTACTATTCAACTTTACCTCCAATAATATACCGGTTGTGATGTTGTCCAGAACCCAATAGACAGCCTCGGTTTTTATATAGACTGCACAGATTTAGTGATCCCTCAAGTCTTCTGTCTCTTTACGGCTAGTTAGGTCTTCAGGCGTATTTCCCTTCAGAATTCATCCTGCCTTCTCTAGGTGGGTTTTCTTAATATGGTCGCTCTGTGCTTTGATGATCTTGTTCGTTTTGATCTTCTCACTGTGGGTATTGTACCACAATAGTTCCCAAACTCTCAACTGGGTTTCTTTCTCATTCCTATCCTAATCTATAGTTGTAGGATCACTCTTGTAAATTACAGCAAAGCTTATGCAATAACGTTTTGCAAGAAGGTTTGGGTGTATTTTCTTTCTAGTTTCTTGAAGAAAATAAGAAGTCAGATGATTTGTTCTTTTAGGACTTCAAAGTCACATGATATGCATATTCTCCTGTACTTCTTAACTATCAATTCCAGCATCATGCCACCACAACTAAATTGTTGAGGTATATCTGGAAATAGAATAGCTATTCTTGAATGCCTTTGACTTGTGTATTTCTAATTGCAGCTTGAGGGTATACTTTAAAAGTGTGGTTCTGTTCTCAGCAGACTTTTTATCCGTGCCCAACAAGAAATTCATATCTCCGGGATTTATATGGATGCCTTGAGTTTTCTTGGAGGTTTCATACCTTATTTACTTAAAAGATAGAAGTAAATTGGTATAACCATATTCATCAACTTTTCTTCTCCACCTTATATGAATTTGCCTTCTTATCAGAGTCATTTAAAACTGATTTCGAGTCCTACATAATTGAGTATGCATTACAAAAAGTTTCAGTTTGGTGAAGAAATGCACATATTCATGTAAATTAGGAAATATAGGCAACTCAAGACTAAAGTTCAACAGCAACATCCAGATTGTGAGGTCTGAGTTGAATAATAGTTTGAAGTGTTTCTTTTTAAAGGGTCTTCTTTTTAAGTTTCTTTTATAAGAATATGGAGGTATATGAGAAGTCATAAGTCCTCTGTAGAGTTGTAGCTCAAAAGAAGCAAGGAGTTATTGATGTGATGGATTATCATTTGGTAGTGTGGTTTCATAGCATGGTGCTTACCTCTTTGCTTCTAAACAACAAATATAATTCCAAAAATGCAAAAAATAAAAATGAACACTCCAATTGGTTAAGAAAAAGCAAATATAACACTCGAATGCACCCTTGGTAACGTAGGGACTCATTGCAAAGTACTCGATATTTGTCATTTCCCATCATTTGCTGAGGATCTTTAATGGTGGTTTAGAAAACCTTAAGGTTCTTATCATTTCAATTGCTCAATATTTTCATTTTGTGGGTCCCGTGTACATGGTGTTAGACGACCCATTTTTAGGTAGCAACTAAAGATGTGGCACACAAGATCGGAATTTAGAAATTATGTATAAACAAATAATTTTATACAACTCGTGTGTGTCGGCTGACCACATCAGTAGAACAACTCAACTCAAACATTTACAATTGCATTCTGAAATCTGTTGTTGGATCTCATAAAAAGTCAATTCTTTTTTGTTTTTTTATTCGTTGTCTGTTTTGGCTTACCATTTCCTTTTTCTTTCTTTATTTTAAATCTTTTTTTCTGTATGCATATGACATGGAATCCTCAACAAACTAGCCTTGGTTGGTTGGTATTACACACTTTTGAGTCAAGAACACAACATGAGGACGATGAATCTATTGATTTGCTACCTTTTCGTTACACGTCTGCACTTAAATTGGCTTTTGCAAACCCATGTAGGTTAGCATTTATGGCTTAAAGAATAACTTTATATATAATTATAAACCGAACAAAAGCTTAGTGCTTTCTGATGTATGCCATAAAAAGGGAAGTGGGAAGAACAAATCTTGATTAATTAAATCCATTTAGTGGTTAATTTAATTAACAATTTTATGGCTTTTTTTACAGTTGCTTGTGGCTGGGGGTGGCATGTATGTGGAGGTATTCAACAGGGGTGTCATCCCTCTTGCTTACAGCATCAAGAAGAAAAACAAAGCTGGTGAGACCAACACTTACTTAGATGGTATCTATCTCTTGTTTACCTATTTCACAAAACCCGAATCTTTGGAGGTTCTGGAGACAACATTGACGATGGATGATGATGTCATCAGATCATCCACCTTCCAGATACGGAAGAGGAAGTATTAGTACTATATTTCTTTCGGTTTTAGCTTCAAAAGAATCTAAATCTTTTTTAGGGTTCTTGAAATTGTATGTCATATAAGCATCATGATGTTAGAGATGTCACATATCTGTATGGATACATTCTTTTGTATTCAAGAATCTTTCTTTTGATGAGATTAAAGGAATAGGCATCCTGTTCATCTTTATGTGGCTTTTGGTTTGGCTACAAGTGCACAAGAGTCCGCGTGGTCTGTAAAAAGCTCGGATTGGATCTGGAAAGCTCTAACTGGTCCTGATTTGCCATAAAACTCCAATCTAGGATTGATAAGAGGGTACATATAAAACCATTGTGGCAGAAAATCCGAACAAAGCTTGATTCGGGGCCTTAGGGGGAAAGTTCAAGTGGAACCATAAATATTTTGAGAACATAGAAACCAACTATTTCATGTATTATTTATGATGAATAACTCTGAATAATCATACTGGTAGTGAATATCATGTATTTTCTTAATTCATGATATCATGCATCTTCATGATTCATTATGTCATGCATTTTTATCATTATTAGCTATCACGACATTCATCATGAATAAAAATATGGATAGTTGGTTCCCCAGTTTTCAAAATATTTACGATTTTCATTTGAACATGCTCCTAGGACTATAATTGGATAAATACATAATACAACACATCAAATATGGTCAAACCCGAGCCGAACGATTAAGGGTTTGAATATAGCTAGTTTGAGAAAACATCTAAATGAAGCTTGGAACAATATCAGACATAAATATATTAATAGTCGATAACACCTGACCCTAAAATCCCCTACCCCCCACACCTCTAGTTTTAGCATTTACGCTTACAAGCAGACCACGAGATTGTTTGTTTCCGGCTTAGAAGCTTTATGGCACTAGAGGCTTATTCGCTGAGCCATATTAGAGTTTTTGTTTACAGCTTAATGATTAAGCTATCATCTTATTTGACTTTATGGATTCAGCCCTAGACCCTGGCTTATGAATTCAACCATGTTATTCCTTTTTTTTACAACCATACCCTTTCCCCTACTGCTCGACCTCACCCCTAGTAAGATGGCACAGTAGATCAAAAAAATTTAAACTGAACTCGATGGTGTGAATGCAGCAGTAGATCCATGGTTAACCCTTTTGATATCGCCCACACATTTTCGTACCCAGAACGTCTTTTATTTTATTTATCTTTATCTAAAAGAAGGCTTGTTGGGTAAGAAAACTTAACTTTTCATGTCAAAAGAGCACTCACTACTCATAGATTAATCATTCAGCAAAATTACAAAGGAAGAAAAAGAAGGTGACCCATGCCTATGAGACTATACAGCTTCCAACACACTTTATGTTAGCTACCAGCTTCATTTGCAGCCATACAAAATTATTCAACTTTACAAACCTTTTTGGTTTTTATAGATAACCAGAGGCCAATCAATTGCCCATACTTTCCCTTTCACCATGCCTTAGAAAAAACTAGGGGTGTTAATTAAACCGTATAAATTGTTCATATCATACTATATTATATGGTTTAGAATTTATGTAGTACGACTAATTATGGTTTATAGTTTTGTCAAACTGTATTTATGATTAGTTTTTGTCAAACTGTATTTATGATTAGGTTTGTGGTTTTGTCAAATTGTATTTATAGAAGGTGCGGTTTTTTGTGGTTTGAAATGTATACGGTTTGAAAAAAGCTCAAACCATATATACGGTTTTGACACTAAACCATACCATACAGACTACAATATTGTAAACACTCGTAGAAAGGTAATTTGTGGCTTCCATCGATTTTTTTTGAAGGATATAATATATTTTATATACGGCAAATGCAACAAATAAACTCACATACCCTCTTCATCGTTGGTGGGGTTTGAACCTCTGACCTCCTAAGAAGCAAAAGACTCATATATCGCTAAGTAAAGTCACTTAGATTTCCATCAAATTCTTAACATTCAACAAACAATATTCAAATATGAAATTTGAACTCAAGAATTTAAATGTTTAATGGTTTTGGTATTAAAGAAATGAAAATTATTAGGAATGAAAGAGGATCTTGATTGGTGGTGGACCACATTGATCATACACTATTCAACCCACTATCCGAGCCGACTAATCTCAGTACGACCATCTATTTTGTAGATAGCCTGGAGCCACCGTATTTAAACCCCTCCGTGGCCATTAGAGGATTTTTATTCCTCCTTAGATTTGAACCTGAGACCTCCTAGTACTTTTAACCTTTGGAGCCAAGCTCAAACCAATCAGACACTACCCTTATGGTTTACTAACAATTATTTAATCCTCAAATTACACGTGATTATCTTTTTGTTTAATAATACAATACATATTGATTTAATTGTTTTTGGTTCATTAATGAATTTTCAAATACTTTTATTCAAATGTGATATCAAATCAAACCAATATGGTATGTCATACTCTAAATGTTAGAACGTATGTTTCCATTAAGATCCACGACTTATGGAAAATGTGAGCAGAAAGAAAAAAAAAACGAGACTAATAAATAATAAGTAACGAAAACGATAGAAGAAATAAACAAGTTGAAACATAAAGAATGTGAGGAAATACATAATCCGCTAACTGTATGGTATGACTCTGATAACTTATCTGTTAGCTCCATAACTGTTCTCGTATGCCACTCTTAGCCTTTGTGCTTCTTTTTTCTCATCCGTACTTGTTACATGTCTCTACTATCCTAGTACTACTTTGCCAAAAACTCTTAGAAGTCATGTCGTCAGAAACGTCTTAAGGCTGCCATCTCCATCATCCAGTGCTCATCTCATTTCCTTCTCATCATACCGGTTAACTGTCACGCCTTCTACTCTTTTCACTAGTGCCACCATCGGTCTTGTGCTAACATGTCCTAACCATCATAATCTTCCCTCTTTCAATTTTTTTTCATGATAGGCACAAGGGGGTGCTAACCATTTTTAAGCTCGAGCTTAATAATTCTCGAGTTCAAGTCAATCTCAAACATGAGATAAAACTGGTTCAACTTAACGAATCGAGCTCCATAACACTGATGTATGAATCGGTTTGTTCGAAAGCTCGATTAAAATTTTCTAGTTGACACGAGCCGAGCCATTTGATGTTACACTTTTTCAAGCCATACATGTTCTTATGTTTATAAATCATACAATCAAAATATAAGACCTATCGAGCCAATGAACGAGTTAATGGATCTTGAATTCGAGCCTATTTAGGTACAATATATAACTCAAATGTGTTAAACGAGCATCGAGTTCAAGCACTACTTTGAAAAAGTTATTTAAGCTTGAATCTAATATTATTTTCTCGAGACAAGCTTGAACAACCTGCTATTCAGCTCGACTAGGTTTGTTAACACCCCCCAGACACAACGTTCAACTCCGCCCAGAAACCTTATTCAATATCCTGTCTAACATGGTCCACCGTAAGTCCATTAAAGCACTAAACCTTCTTGTTCTACAACACCTCCGTGATAGCTCTTCAGTTAAGCCACTCCGATTGGCTTTATGTGATCTGTTACGTCATCCTCTCCTCCTCCCTCTTTTTGACTTATAAATACTAAATACTTGAAATTGTTCTAACAGTAACCCGAATATCAAAAAAGGGTATAAAATCTTGTCCAACCATAACAAATTATGCCCACAATAGATTGCATGCTCTATTATATCATATCCTAATCAAATAGCAACCCAAGGTGAAGCATTTGCCAGTGAAAGAAGCATATATATATATATATATATATATATATATATATATATATAAAAGCTAGTGCACCAATATGAATGTGGGTCTAGGGAGCAGCATTACCACAATGATGTGATGTTTCTACTAATCATATACAAATTAAAATGCAAGTGTTGGAGGGTCCCTTGATTCTTAATTAGTGCACCCATGTTATATATATACATATACATATATATATATATATGTATGTGAGTTGAGAAGGAAAAGGAATATATATAATCATCATGTTTAATTCCCTCTCATCACTTTCTTCCTGCATCTCATAACCCATTTCTTATTATACTCATCATATATGCTTTTCCTTTTCTCCTTTCACGTCTAACTCACTATCCATATGATCCACTTATACACCCCATCCCTCGGTTACTCACTCGACTAAGAAACCCACTACCATTTCTGATCATAACCTCCAATATATAAAACCAAACAAAGAGTCTTTGAACTCAACTCATATGAATTCAGTTGGATACTAGAAACAAAACCTTCTTTTTCTCCCAAAAGATTCCAACTTTCACTGTTTCACGTAACTGCGTTTACAGACTCCAACTCCTCCATCAAGAAACTTGACATCCAGTTCAGTTTCTTGCACACAAAGAAGTGTCTTTTTTGGTTTTCAGAGACACCATTCATATAAAGACTCTTAACTTTCACATTACTTGCATTCATACACTTGGGTTCTGACTCAATCAAGAATCAGCAAGTCCACCAGGGTTTCTTAAGTTTGTTGCCGAAAACTTAAGCCGTACAAGTATCTTTTACTCCTAATTCTTATATAAACTTCGAGTAGGTGAACCAAAGCACAAAACCATATAACACCCGCCTTCTCTTTCTCCCACAAGATTCTAACTTGATCATCCATATACTGATCAGATCCTCATTTGATCAAGTAATCGAAAAAGACAGCATTAGGGTTGGGTTTCTTTGAGTTTCAGAAGGGCCTTTTGTGTTGTTGTGGGTCATTTAGGTTTTCAAAAGGGTGATTAGAAGCAGATTAAGTAGTTAAAAAAGGCAATGGGGTACCTTCAATCTTCAAGTGCAAGCACTGGTGCTAACTCACACTTGTACTCTCAAGCACTTCAAATGAAATTATACCAAGCATTCATATTTTCTATCCCCATACTCTTCTCTATAATACTTTTTCTCTTGTTTTACTTGTTCTACCTCAAAAGGACTTTTAGTAGCACCCATTCTTCATCTTCTTCTGCATCCATACTCCCTTCAAGAAATCAAGATTCCTCAACTCTCCCTCAATATGTATGTATACAACTCTCTCTCTCTTTCTCTCTCTTATGTGTGTGTGTGTGTATATATATATATATATATCTTTCTCTCAAACCTATGCTCTTTTGTGTCTATTTTCTTATAGAGTGAAATGGGATTGAAGATAAACCTTGAAGACAGGCTTACTGTGATCTTGTTCGATGAAGATTTATACGCGAAAGATTCAATGTAAGCATATGAATTCAGATGTTTTTGATCAAACCGATTCTTGATTGATTGACTTCGTGAATCATTATACTTTCTTAAAGGAATATTTTGTTCAAAGTAACTCATGTTTACAAACTGTAACATTGCTATGCATTTTCTCAAGGAAATATATGGTTTGAAAAAGCCAAAGCATTATATTCATGGATTTTTAACAAAATTCTAACGGGAATTCCATGAAAATTTGATCTGAAGGTGTTGTGTTTGTTTGGGGGAATTCGAGATGAATGAGAAGCTACATCAAATACCAGCTTGCCAACATGTGTTCCATGGTGATTGCATACGAAACTGGATCCATTCGAACACCACATGCCCACTCTGCAGATGCTCAGTCATCAGTGCCGCCGCCAAAGACGGCCACCACGAGCCGCTAGTGGTTCCTGATCAACCAACCACCGCGATCAACCTGAGCTCAAACCCACAAGGGGTTCCTTTAGAACATAGTGTGATCATATTTGAAGGGTCATCTAGTTCAAGTATGGACGACAACAAGTTGTGTCATCCAATTGAAGAATCCGTTGTTGTCACTGTTCGAATCCATGATTCTTGATCTTTCATTCAGGGAATTTTGCTAGAAGGGTAGAATAGTCATTAGTCTAGATGAATTTATACATCAATGATGTACCAAGTGTTATCCAAGTTGTACGTATAAGATGACTCATGTTGGTAATAAGCCATCTTTTTTGTAAGTTGGCAGAACAAGTCGTCTGTTTCGCAAATTCAGTTGGCTTCAAGTGTATATAACTGAGACTTAATTATATAGACTATGAGAGTAAACTTCAGTTATGAACCTGTTTTTCATCATGAACCGAGGACATAGGAGAGTGTGACATGTGTCCCGATGTGTCCCGTGAATGTCTGGGACAAGTGGCACACTATGAGAAGTCCAAAAAGATCTTCAAATGGGGTAAAGTTTGAAGCAAAGTACTAAAAAAACGTTTAAAAGCAACAAAAGGACGCACGTAGTAACCTTCTTTCACAAATGGAATGGCTTTGTGTCATCCTTAACGAGCTCCTAAAAGGATGTTGGATATCTTACGGGAAACAACTTATACATCTAAAATTCAAAGACGGCATAATAAATGAAGACTTTAGTCCAACACAAGCATTAAAATAGCTTATCGAAAGAAGCTCTGACACGTAACTGATATGTACCCAAAAAGCGCTTTAGACCAACAAATTTTGTGAGGTCATAACAACCTCTTTATAACAAACCAAACAACTCCATATTGTATCTGATTAGTTCTAGGAGGTCATGTGTCTCAACAAACCAAACCAGACCGAAAGGTACAAACTCAATATATCTCCATACAGAGGTAGAATCTTGGAGGTATGTCAGGCATACGTAGATCTTATCTCTATCTCAAAGGATCGAGATGTTTTTTTGAAACCCACAGCTTAAAAAACAGAAAGTACCAAAAGACACGAGAAAAGTAGCAAAAAAGTGTGTGCAAACAAAAAACGGGTACAATGAACCAAAAAGGGATCAGGTACACATGAGATAGGAATATATACAAGATAAAACAAACAAGAAACACAAAGCAACAACACTAAGACTATTAGGGTAGGAAGAAGACATACCGTAAAAGCAGGAAAAACTAATACTTACATAAATAAGACATGAAAAGTTGAAAAAATTTAAACCACCCTTTATATAAACAGGAGAATTAAATTTGAACATTTCACTTCCCTTGTCACACACACTTAGGAGCCGTTTACTAAATGTTTGTTTAGTAAGTGCTTATCGGATAAATTTCCTCATCGGATGAACATGACAAAGACCAAGAATCTTCCCGGGTAAGAGCGATGAGAAGGATGTAGAGTCTTACCCGGTAAGTGAAGATGACGAATCTTACCTAGGCAAGTGCTTACCCGGTAAATTGTTGCATTCGATATGTTTTGATGTACTAAAATCTTATGCATCAAAGTAAACTATAGTGTTGACTCCTACAGGTAAGCACTTACCGGGTAAGCATTTGGGTAAACAACCTCTTAATCTCTCAAACCAAACAAACACATTCATTACATCTTTCTCGAAAATAAAGGTTTTGAGGTACAAATTATGCAGACCTAATCTCTATCCTAAAGAGATTCACATGTAAAAAGACAAGGCCAAATCCATATACATGTATATATACAGGGTCAGGGGAAAACGGTAAAAAAAATGAAAAACTGAAAAGCACCCTACTAATAACCGTTCATCTTTACAGTATACACATATGCATACACGTAATTTGTAAACAATTTATCCGGTATGCACATATTCATAATACAAAAACCAAGAAACAACTTCGATTACTTGTATACATATGTGAATATCGTCTCGATTAATGGTTACTAATGATATGAAAAATGCAAGCAAATGACTTGAACAAAAACAGCATATATGAGTTTTGGCTAGAATCTTGAGAGCTTCCTTATCTCCCAGTCACTAGTTGTCAAAAGACTAAGCAAATAACATAAAAATACAACCACAAGAAACTGAATCAAACATTAAACCACTAATACACAAAGCATACTAATCCTACCCTGCTTCCATTTCTTCAATCTAAACAACTTCAATACCATATTACTACCACTTGTGCCCTTATTCCCCTCTCTTTCATCTTCAAGCACCGACGACTTCAAAACGGCAGACCATAAACCTAAAAACACACCCAAGATTACGTACAAGAAACCGCAGAATATTTTCAATTTTCAGCAGCTTCCAAGCTAAAGCCAGAGACTTCATTGTCTATGGAAGAAGAAAGTTGCAGCTTGCTTCCACAACTCATTTTCTTCACATCTTGACTCGAACATATCAGAATCCGTTTCACCATTCTACAGAACTCCCTGTGCATCGAGATTTTGTCAGTTAACAAATAGTTCACGATTTTTTCTAACCATGGGTGTCTGGGCCAGCTTGTGTCCGCCTCGACTAATCCCATGGGTCCCTTAAATAACAGGCCAGGAAAATCCTCGGTGGCCCTGAGGAGACTCGAACTTGCGACCAATGGAGAGGAGCCCCAAGGTCTGGCATCTATTTGCCAGTTGAGTTGGCCCTCAAGGTTTAGTTCATGATTGACGCATCTAGGGTAAGGTTACTTACTGCCATGGATCGTCACCCATGAGCATCATATCTCCTTCATCATCAGTAAATACGATTTCCCATTCATTTCTAGGGCGAAGCTTCCCCTTGATCTCAAACATCTCTTCAAGTTCGTCTATGAGCTCATGATATCCTTTTAACACGGTTAAATCCACTGCACGACCCACCGCTACTCCTTGCATTTGAACCTTCAATCATTACAACTACGTTAATACATGCACGTTAAAGACTAGCAGGCTTTTTATGGATATTTATTTTTATTCAAATGAATCTGTCCCTAGACATTGTGAAACAAATATATGCTAACCAATACCTTAAATCCTAACCTTATGTGGAAACAGATAATGTGAAATAGCACATGATGTACGAGTTCTCACAGGATTAGCCTCATATATATATATATATATATATATATATACACACACACACATATATATATTATATATATGTGTGTGTGTGTGTAAACAAGTTCACACCATTTGAGGGATTGATCAGATGTACCTTGGTACGGCTCCGCGACAAAGCACTTTGTTTGCTTTGACCACCTTTATGATCCTTTGATGGGTGGTCAGGCTTCTGGTCTGAAATCCCATCCGATTCATGCCTTTCAAAAGATGGAGCTACCTTAGGTATATCACCTTTGGGGGCGATCTTTAAGTCAAAACCAAATAATCTACAACTCAAAATATTTTCAGACTTCTTCAAGTCATGCGAACTTTTAATTGAATCTTTGGTCAGTTTTGCGGATTCTAGAGGCGCATAATTCGAATGTGAATGGACAGACCAACCTAAGAGACCTTTCCTTTCTTCTGTTTCACCTGCAAGAAATATTCAACGAAGAATTCAGTGGGATGACGATAGCCAGTCTGCATCCAGTTGAGTGCCATTGTTACCATTTTCTGTTTGCTCATGTGAAGGATTCCAAACAGCTGATACAGTCGAACATGCAGGTTCTAGAACACCAAGCAGCCCAATGTACAAAACACAATTGGTTAATAAGGATATGGAGACAACAAACATAAAGGTAAGAGAACAATTAACTCACCAAGATTAGGGATATTGACTGAAGGTCGAGGCCTCTTACTTTTAGGTGCCACCGGTTGAACCAAGCTTGTGGGAACAGGAGTGGTATAAGCCTCAATCTCCCATGGTGACACCCTTTCTGGTCTTGTTATGGATGTGGATTCATCCCATTGGACCTGGAACCAATGGGAGAAAGTTAAGTTTCTTTTATTTCGTTGTCATTCGAGCTGCGAGAGCGAGAATATGGGGAACGCCCAGATTAATCTCCAATAGAGCCCTTGAGAAGAGAAGGGAGGTTCTAACATATATTGTAGAGAATAGGTTTCAAGTCTAGCTGATGTGGGACTCTAACAAAGTCAAAGCACAAGTCTTTGACAAACATACAGAAATTTCCATCCCCGCCCTTGCATATTGGTGCATACAGGATGCCTTTACAAATAATTAATAGATTCATTAGAAATTACTTCATATGTTTACCTTCAATGAGCGCCATTTAGAACATTCCCACTGATGAGACAAGTCTTCAACTCCAATTATCGTACCCGTAAACCTAATCAATTCAAGGAATTTTCAGGGAAAGGCATCTCTTTGTATCAACTTAAACACCAACAACTTATAACTATTATGTTTACCTTCTCTCTGGAGAGTCTTCACCCTCGAACCGCATATTAAATCGCATGCCGACAGTAAATCCATTGTTTATAGATTCAATATACTTGTTCAAGCCAATGATAAACTGACTTGTCCTGTAAGATTTCAGCAAATCAAATAGTGGAAGAACCTACATTGCAAGGATAAAGGGAACAAAACCGGCTTTACAGGAGGCAAAATATGTCTAAATGTCCTAATAGACTGCTTTATAGGACTTAAATTTATCGGAAAACAATTGTGTCCGTAAAGGTGTTACAATTAGTTGATAGGACGCCCAAAAAGTTTTTTAGGCCACTCAACACCATATCAGGTGCACATCCCACCTCACCTTGGAGCAATTAGAAGTAGGATCAAGGCTAGAAAACCCCATATTTATGTCATTTAACACAGTAAATACTCACTTCAACGGGGAGTAACATACCTTGGCTTGTAGTAAACAACAAAGCGGCTTTGGGTAGAAACAGCGTGTGATGCAGTTGCAAGCATTCCAAGGCGCATGCTGCGGCTCGAAATCACGGAAGACGGCATGGAGTTATGCTGTTGAGCAACACGTCTTACACCGACGCGTAATTCGCCATTCTCCCCCCTACAATCACATATTTTAATAAAGATGTGGTCAAGGGTACAAATTACAAACTAACCATAACAACAAAGAAATATGCATGTGAGATCAACGCTCCTTCCTTAGATGTCCCAAAACTAGCAACATGTCCTTTTAAGAAAGATTTCAAATTAAAATTACCCGTTTGTCCGTTATCATCATTACAAACAAGTTGACGACAATAATTTGGTCCACAAGTTCCATAGATATCTTTACTAAAGGGTATTATAGATATTTGACAAGTAGTCAAACATTATACTTTGGTTATGTTACAAGCAATTTTCATTAAACTGAAAACCGAGCACGAGACCAAAGCAAGAATGGAAACCAATACCTAAGGAATACAAATGAATCCCCAGCCACCAATCTTTTAGAAGTAACAAAAGTACTCCATCCGGTTGTAAGCAAATGCCTTCGTGGTTGACCTGCTCAATGAAAGAGATGTTACTTCTCATGAAAAAAAAATATATGGCTTCAATTAACTAAAAGGCACACAGTTTTAGAAATGTGTAATTATTATTACACTTTTACTTAACTAATAATTATACATTTCTAGACATTTATTTTGGGATGGAGAGTACAAAACTTGGATCTGCAAAGTCATAAACCAGTTTACAGTTCAAATCAGGTTCCACATCCAAAAACATTTGTGATTTTCCAATTGCAGTATAAGTAAACAAAAGGCATGAGTATATAATTACCTCTAAATATATGCTTAAATCGCCACTCAAAGCCATGGAGATCCTTAGCTACCAGCTCCTGAGTAGGAGTAGGTTGAGCCATGTCCTGAAACCGACAAAAGCAGAAAATTGGAACATCAAACTGTTAAAACATATGAATCAGAGAAAGAGAACAACGAACAAAAGCGAAATTACCAATATAGGGAGACATTCATTTGCGTGTTTTCGGAGCACTGAAAAACCACCATGAGTGCTCGTATCAGATGCTGTTAAGACTTTACAGAAAGAGTGAACGGTTGGCCTTGGAGGGTCGGCAAGGCATTTATCAGGGCTGGCAGGATCACTTTGCTATGGGTTGTTACAGAAAAGCATAAACATATGAGGTTCGAACAAAAGGCATCAGTTTTCCATGTATTTTTAAAGAATCTAAAACATGAACTCTCACATCTGGCTCCGGAAGTAGAGTGATTTGAGCATAAACTTCATCTGTATCTTGTTCAGCCTACAATGGTAATCGATTCTAAACAAATTCAAACCAAAACACAAGAAAATGAATGTATCACCCGCCACTTAAAATAAAGCCAAACAAATTGAGAGATTGAAAGCTAGAAATATTTAACATATGAATCTACTATTCCAGCCGGTCAACCTACGAAAAAAAAAACACATATCACCATCACATCTTAAAGACTATTTATTTGGCACTTACTAAATTTGATTACTTATTTAGCTCAAACCATTCTTATTTCAGTTCATTTGTTAATCGAATTGGATCTTAATTATATTGCTTGCCTCATAAGACACACACACATGTATATATATATGTCTGATATGGAGCCCAGTCTCAAATGTAAACTAGCCTATGACTTCATGGAACAATTAGGGGGTTAAAATCACAGGTTTTTCTCTTGTTTATTTTCTATCTAGTTTCATATGGTAGGAGTCTTTATTTGACGTATGTGGTACAAAAATTCACAAGATACAAGAAAAATCCTAACAACCAAAATGAATACAAGCAAATTGTTGGACCATATAAATATTGTTTACTTTTGCAACTATTATCGTGTGCGATTATCTGGTTGTTTTGGTATATACCAATTTCCTACCCTCTCAATTTGAACAAACCTTCATGTTGTTTACAAAAAAAGAATTTCCTATTTCTCCATTCATTAGGTCTGATTTCCCTTTCCCCATATGGAAACTCACAATTACCTTTTCATTTCTTCTCACACTAATGGAAATTGGTTAAAGGTGAAAGCAAATTCAGTGAAAAGAAAAAGCTCCTTAATCACTTTCTAAGCAACCAATGAACCAAACATGATCTAAATGCTACATGTAATCCAAACCAAACATTATAAGAACAACATATTACATACCAGTAGCTGCGTATGAACAACACTACAAAGGATCTTTGAATTGAGGTCGAAGCGAGGAATACTCTGATCCGATTCCTGATTTGTTGATGCCTCTAACTAAACAAAACCCACAAGAAGCAGAAAAGGCAGAACAATCAAATTATGGTAAATTAAAACCCATATAATCAACCAAAAGAATAGGACTTCCATGTCAAAAGAATCGTGAAAATAGAAACCATATGAGATTTCAAGCAAAATCAAGAAACTTGTATTTACTTGCTCCATATGGCCTTGAGGAAAGTAGAAAACTCTTTCTCCATCTCTTGGAACATCCACCAGTGGGCCAGCACATGCCTTCCATAGCTCCTTATACAGCAGATCTTCCATAGCTCATAATCGAATTAAACCACAGAGCATATAACATTTTCAGCATAGATTAGAAAAGGAAACTATAACCCACATCAATAGTCAATAGAAACAAAAATCCTTGAAAGAAATGCTCCTTTCAAACAGATTGCCACAAATTTCAACCTTGAAATTCAAAATCAGCCCAATAGAGTCAAGAGTAGTGTCTAGTTGTGGAGAATCATTAAATGAAAATACCACGTCAATAATAAATTCAAACAAAATCGAAGAATCAGTGAAGAAATTTCACCTTCAGATGAGAAGACTGTTGACCCTCGATTGTCCATGGTCGAAAGGTACATTAAACAGCACAAGCAACTCAAATTCTTCCAATACAAAAATTGTCAAAAACTTAAACCTCTAAAATCATCAAATTCTCCACATAAAATCCATACTTATGATCACAACACCTACAAACAAATCCCCCGTACCATAAAACTTAATTACCAGCTCAATTAAAACCCTAAACCATCAATCTTCAGTTACAAAATAAACAGATCAGAAAACCAGAACGGATGACGCTGCTTCAGCTCCAAGACTTGTCCCCTCTCTCTCTCTCTCTCTCTCTCTCTGTCTCTGTCTCTGTCTCTCCCTCTCTTTCACCAGGAAATGTGAAAACGCCGTTACTTAACCAAGGAAATTGATTGATCTACTACGCCTAGATTTCTTCTCTCTCTAAACCACTCCCACCTTCTCTCTCTCTCTCTATACATATAATATATATACATATACATATAATATATATATATATATATATATATATATATATAAACCTTTGTTTGTCTCCTTTCTCGGTAGTGTGTGTACTGCGTGACGCCAAACCTAACAAACAGTTATCGTTACTGCTAAAAAAAATTAACTGATACCGGATAAAAAATTTATACATTGCAAAAATAAATATTATTTAATGAAATATGGTTTTATTGAGGATAAAACATTTATTTAATAAATTAAATATGAAATTAAAAAAAATGAGTAAACGGAGTGTGGAGACGGCGTTAATAGTTCCTGTTCCAGGAGCAGGCAACAGGATTGGCCAGATAAAGCCCGGCATAGAAACCTTCTCCTTTCCCTTTATCTTCACTGTCACTTCTTTGACCTTTCTATCCCCATTAATTACACCCTTGCCACTCCTTCATAATTTCTTTTTCCTTTTTGTTTTCTTCAATTGTAATTTTTTTATTAACCTGGATATCCAATCCGTTATGCGAACAGACTAATTCCAGGACGATCACCTGTTTTGCAGATAGTCTGAAGTTACCGTATTTGAACCTCCGTGGCCACAAGAGGATTTTTATTTCTCCTTGGATTTGAATATGGGACCTCCTGGTACTTTTAACCTTTAGAGCAAAACTCAAACCAATCATACACCACCCTTGTGGTTTTCTTCAATTGTATTGTTGTACAATCTCATGTAGCTTTTGTTCTTATTTGTTTTCCTTGCTTTCAAAACAATGGTTCATAGGTTTGGGTTTTGGTGAAAAGAAGAGTTAAAGGTGAAAAGTGTAAAAAAATACTTCTACCTTTAAGTACATAATAAAATGAGATGCATCAGATCAATCCATGTATCAAGTATTATTTATGAGTGAGTTTGAAATTAAAGGTGATCAATGATTCAGATCCGTTCTTACGTTTCTCACACTGTATATAACTTTAGAAATGTGTAATAATAATCATTTTTTAGTTGACTAAATGACAAATTTATTTTTATTTTATTTTTCTCTGTACAATTTAAAAATATTTGTGTATCAATTAAGAGTATATTTGAGAATTTAGTTATCATATTTCGAAACTAGATGCTTTTTTGATAATGATGGGTTTTCGAGGCAGCTTATGCGCACCGACTAATCCCCGTGCAACCACGAATGAACTAGAGTCATCACAGATGAATTTCTAAGGTCACAAGGGCTTTGACAACGCCTAGACTCGAACTAGGGGTGGATGAAATTTTCCACTACATCCCCCTGAGGCTTAACCAATGCGTTTGGATTCGTACCCGACCTTGAGACACTTATTTTTGGGATAAACATAAATAAAAATGTAGACATTTGCACTGTATTTTCAAAACCTTTTTTTACGAAAGAAAGGAATAGAAAGAGAGGAAAAGGGAAGGAAAGTAAAAAAAAAAACTCGTGTTTTTTAAACTTTTTAAAAAGAAAAGAAAATTAACGATAAGTTTCTTCTCAAAAAATTTCTCCCAAAATGTGGAAGGAAGGGGAACGAAAGAAATTAAAAACTTTGAAAAAAAAATTTAAAATTACAAAATTGCCAAAACTTTCATATTAAATGATATATTTTTGAAAGATATATTAGTAAAACAATATATTTATATATTTTTCTCTCAGTCTTCAAGAACAAAAAAAGTATATTTCCTTCACTCTTGAAAACACAAATAAATTTTTTTTATTAAAATAGTCATTTTTCATAGTTGGTTTCACTTTCTAGCCATTTTCTCTCCAAATTTATCAAAATAGTCATACTTCAACAAAACTCACGTCCATAATTGCGGGCCCAGTTAAAAAACAAAAAAAAGTTTACAATTTGTACTCTTATCCATAAAAAAATTACATTTTTCACCTAGATTCGCAAAAAAATTACATTTTTCACCCAGTTTCACAAAAAAATTACATTTTTCACTCAGATCCGTAAAAAAAAAAAAATTTGCGGACCTAAGGTTATTTGGTAAACTTGGTAAAAAAGTGACTAGTAAGTGAAAGCAACCAGTAAAAATGATTATTTTAATTATTTTCTCATAAAAAAATGTTTTCCTTTACCTTCATTTTCACGAATACAAATAAAAAAATTGTTTTATTTTTCTTTTTTTTCCCTCTCTTTCTTTTTCTTCTATTTCCTTTTTTTTTTTTCTTTTTCTTCTTTTTCCTTTTTTTTTTCTTTTCACTCCAAATTCGACAACACAACATTATTTTGAGATGAAGAAAATAAATTTATTAAATTGACTTAACTTAATTTAGTTAACCTCCCCCTCTTTATTTTACTCAATTCAACCTTCTGTATTATTAGTAAGGAGTGTTAGAAGAACTTTTGGACCATAAAAAACTGATTGATTAAACTATTTGAGACTATTTTGACAGTTGGACGTATTAAATATATATATATATATATATATATATATATATATATATATATATGGGAGCGTTCAAATAAAAATCATCCAATTTGTATAAACCGGGAAAATCACATTCAACCAATCATAATTTTTAATTTTGTTCATTTTTTTGTAATTATGAGATGTTGATTAACCATTTTTATTTTGGAGGGTGTTAATCATGAATATTATCGTCTTCATTATTTTAATTTTAGAGAAATACATGAAACAATTTCATTAAATATTATATGAAACAATTTCATAACCATATATGAAACAAATTCATCAAAAAAAGTATTATATGAAACAATTTCACAAGATGAAAAAATTTCATGAAAAAAATTTCATAAGATTAAACGATGAAATGGACGTATGAGGGTGGTTTGTACGATTTACACAAATGAGGACGGTTTTCATTTGAACGCTCCCCTATATATATATGTATGTATGGTGTATATATATATATATATATACTAGAAGCGTACTCGCGCAATGCAGCGAGATACATCGTGTTTTTAATATTTCATTTTATTCTTTATCTCAGTCGATGTTATAATATGACTTTATGTGATTTTGAGAAAGCGATAATGTTTTTATTTTTGAATA